ATCAATGATAAAGATTAAAAAAAAACTCAGTTCCTTCAATTTGTTTCTCTGTATCCAGGCACATTAGTTATTCGTCTGCCAATCTTATTGCTGCTATGTGAAATTTGGCAACATTAGCAATATTATACAACATCTAAGGCCATAAGAACGTAGGGAATTTTCCTGCAGACTTTTTTTGGAATTTTCCCAGGGTCTCTGGTCTGAGGGATTTAAAATTATGCATTTGGTGGTCCCTGAGGTCCAAAAGGTTGGCGACCCCTGTCTTAGAGCATTTGTGCTATAGTTTTAGTGCTGCTTGTATACACTGTCCTTTGTTTACCAGTAGCAGCCTATTGAGAATGGTGATGTTGGAAGACAATGATTGGTTCAAAATCACTCAATGAGTTCTGTGGTTAAATAAGGAACTAACTCTGGATCAGATTTTGGCATGCTGGGGGAATTGAAAGAGTCCATGGTCTGCAGATTGCCCAGTTTGCCATAAACCTTACTTGTAATCCACAATATATTTGGATTGCACACTAAGATAAAACAATATAAATCCCTTTATGGTTTAATACAATATATGAACTCAATGTATATTTGACAATGCTAATATAACCTAAACCTTTTAAGAAGACTTGCCATGAGATTAAAAAAGGATCAGTTTAAAACTTTATATTCTTCCTCTAAAGTACATAATATCAAACAAACCTGAAAGTTTTAAGAAAATTTCAATGAAATATTAATTTCTCATTAATTTCAATTAATTCACCCTGGCTGAATTAAATTTTGTAAGTATGTTTTCAAAAATTTTCTTTGTTGAATATAAAGTGTATGCCTCTTGGGTCAGCTTCTGAATTATTGATGCACATTTTATTTAGAGTTTCAGCCAAGGCTTCAGGTCCACATAAGAAAACACCAACCCTGGAACTGAAGGTATAAAGTGAAAAACAGATATTTAGGTGCCAAATATAATATAAGTAGGGATGTTGAATATGAAAATTGAACTGCTACAAGAATTATAATCTGCACATCCTTACGTTTATCAAAATTCTCATAAGGTAAATTCACTCTTTAACACTGGTAGCAACATTCTCCGGTTGTGTTAGGTGCAAGGAACCAGAATGATACTGAAGCTGATCAGAACAATAAGTTTATTGCTACTTGCCTATTTATTAGAATCACTCTAGACTCACTATTGAACAAGGAGATCAGCACTCCAAGGTTGGTTGGGGAGAGATCTGCTTTCCATTGCTTTTTCCCCTTCAGTGATTTTAGGCTAGCCAGTCCTCCACTTCTATAGGAGAAAGACTGACAGGGTCAGGGGAAGGGGAAGGGGGTGGAGTAAAAAGAGGGTCAGTCTCAAATTGTTATGTAATCACAAGCTAAGTCCAACCCTCTTTGATTACCATTACCTTTAACTATAATCAAGTGCTGAGATTAGTTGAAGGTTCTTGTGCATAGGCTTTTAGCAATAAATAAGTTAAATTGAACCTTAATGCATGGATTTTTTATCTTTCACACCTGACAACTTCAACTGCAGATCCTACTACAGGTTTTGCACAAAGTCCAAAATGGCAAAAATCAACAGGAACCAGCATTTACTAAACCAATTAAATAAAATTAATTATATACTGATACAATAAAATTTAATAATTGCACAAGAAACCTACTTTGGATGTTGGCCTGCAATTGTCTTGAACTCATTTTCCCAATTTGGTCTTCCATATTGAGTTTTCTGCTTCAAGCCTGTAATCACATCTTTCTCTTCATCATGATGCATTGTAAAATGAGTTGCCTAGAAAATTAAAAGCAAGAAATAACCTTATTAGAAGATTGCTAGGTAACATTTTGTAACAAACTAGAAGATTGTTAGGAAAGTTTGTCTTCCAGTTGTAATTTCTAGTCAACAC